GCCGCGGGGAGGGGCCTCTGCTGGGGTCGCCGGGTTGGAAATGCGATAAACGTGGGAAGTTCTCTCCAAACGGGGAGGGAATTTAACGTGCGTGTGTGTTCCGAGCCGGGAGTTGTGGGAGGGCGCTGAAGGCAGGGAAGGTCTCTGAGAGGTGCGCTTGAGTCATGGCACCGGTGGAGCAGATAGCAGGACTGCAAGGCCACTGCTTGGCCCACAAGCAGTGCGCTGTTGTGCTGTGCTCCTGCACTTCAGCCTGCTAACTTCGGCACCAGAAAGCAAGTGCTCACTTAAATCTAGACTTGGATTAGATGCTAGGAATGAATTCAGCACTCTGAGGGTGGTGAGACACTGGAACAGGTTGGCTGGAGAAGTTGTGGATGCTCCATTCTGGAAGTGTTCAAGGCTGGGCTGGGTGGGGCTTTGAGTAACCTGGTCTAGTGGGAGGTGTCCCTGGGATATCTCTGGAACCAGATGGTCTGTGAGGTTCCTTCCAACCCAAACCATTCTATGATTGTTAGTCTTTGTGAAATGAATAGACTACAGAACATTCTATCAATTTTAACTAAGCTTTGATAGCTTCATGGTGTCCTTCCTAGTTTTAATACCTTTTAGAAATCTAGTTACTGTTTCAGTGACTGGCAAATTGAATCCACTCCTGAAATAATTTATTGCTTTGTAATGAGCTGTCTTCTTAAACAGCTCTAGAAAATGAAGTAAGAGCAATGTCTTGGTAGTTAATAATCACCTCTTATAGGTTTTTTGCAGTCCTATGCGGTGGAAGTAGATGTAAAGGATGCCTCTAATGCTACATGCCTGTATGCAAAATGGATGATGGAATTCTTGATAAAATATGAAACGAACAGTAGTGATTATGTAAGTATTCGGAAGTATACTCTGCTGAGGACTGTATTTTGTCCTGGGTAAAAGTTTAAGTATGCTCATTTACCTGGGGCGTTTGGTGGTTTTTACCATTTGTTTGTTTGGTTTTTAACTAAGCCAGTTGTTAAGATTATTCCTAAATATTAATTTTAAAACAAAGCATAAGTTCTTATTAATACAAATAACTGCCAGTTCCCTGTTGCACTTACTTAAATAGCATAGTGATGAAAGTTGGTGGGTTTTGTGTGTCAGGGTAGTAATGTTCTTAGCCCAAATAACAAATGTAAGTGGCAGCTCTGCACGGTCGATGTTTACAGCCGAGTTAGATGAGTACTTTTGTACCCAAATCTGATATGTCTCTGAAAGGTAGATGTCAGGGAGCCTAGTTCATAATTTCATAGAATAACCTAAAATAATCTCGCTAATCTTGTGCAAGGTTCCATCTAACTCCAGCAGGTTTATGACATTGTCATGGGGAAGAACTGCTGTCTGTGCAAACAATTTAAATTCCCCTTTTCTTCTAGAAAAACACAACGTTGAGTTTGTCATCCAGTGTGACACACAATGGCAGCGTCTGTGGCAGTGACACACAGGCTGCACTTCTGGCAGTGCAGTTTGGAGAAGGTCACTCTTGGAGTGTGAACTTCACCAAAACCAACGAAACTTACCGGGGGGACTTCATCACCTTTACCTACAACACGGGGGATGCTGCTGTGTTCCCTGATGCAAAGAGGAAAGGTAATGCTCTGTGCAGAGTGAGCTATGTGGACAGCCCTCCTCAGAGAGGTGCTGCTAGTAGACAACAGACATATGGAAGATTTGTTTTAGTGTGCACTGCTTGAACTCCCACTTAGCAAAGCAACAAAGTGTTTGGTTTCCATGTATTAAAACCTATTAATGCTAGGTTTTTGTTTTTGTTTTGTTTTGGTTTTTTTTCCCAAAATAGAAACTGAAGTAAAAGGGTTCACATTTCTAATGGCTTGTCTAGATCTGGAAGTTGGGTCACTTCCCTGCATTACTTAGCACTTCAGGTCAGGACACATAGGTAAATCATTCAAGAGAGGCTGGGATTGTTAAGCTTAATTATCTCTTTGTCTTAGGGAATTATATAAAGCATAACACTACCTGTAAATGTTCTTGTAGCTCGTAAGCCATTAAAATACTTGTGCTTATTTGTAGGACCAGTTACTATTGTTGTAAAGGATTCTATGCGTCCAGTGCAGCTGAATAACGTCTTTGTGTGTCATAATACTGAGCTCCTTGAAGCAGAAAACGTAACACAGATTTTCTGGAATGTTACTGTGCAGGCTTTTGTTCCCAATGGCACAATCAGTAAAAAAGGTGAGAGTTTCAATTTGTGAATGAGCTTTGTTGTGTTGCACCTTAGCGCAGGGCTCAAAGTCCCATAATAAAGAATCCACCAGTTCTAAGATGTGCTGTGTTAAATAATATTCATGAAACCATCCTTTAGTATGTCTTTCCTTTTCCTGGAAAAATAGATTAGTAGAACTGATATAGTTGTATATGGTAATGTAAATTGTTCCCATGCCAAGGTGGTGGTCTAGTAAAGTGTATATTCCAGGAATTGGTATATTAAAAATAAGCCCTTCAGAACTCGTGTTGCTGCCTAGATAATTTGAGCTTTGAGGTTTTTAACTGTCATCCATTTTCAGAGGTAGCCTCTAGTTTTTTATTTAAATAGTTCAGAGCCTGTTGTTTTGTAGCTGAACTACTGACAAGGCATGGGTGCATCATCCTGCTACATACGGCTCAACAGGTTTGCTTGCTTTGTGTACAGCAAATATGTATCACACTTTTATAATCACTCATGCTGGCTTTGGCTGGGATAGAGTTAACTGGAGTTAAACCATGACATCACTTAGTGATCTTTGTCCTCCTATTTCACTGCCATGTGTCAGAGGTAAGTAGTGTAGCATGAGCTACATGGATTTAAAGCTGCCAGCATTGCAGAATTTCTGAGAATAAATGGTAGCTGTGAAGTGTTTGGGATACTGTGTCATAGTGCTGAGTTTGAGGCTTCTGACTTGGTCATTAGCAGGCTCCCAGTGAGCCTGAATTTCAGTGGAGAAATTGAAGAAACACTATCTTATCTCTGTTGAACTGACCTCTGAGTCACAAGACTAATAAAATTTCAGCACTGAAATGGTGGTTAAAATTTCTTTTCAGAGTCCAGATGTCGCGCTGATGCACCTACAGCTGCACCTACTGTCCTGCCTACTGTGGCCAATACAACTACTGCATCTACCACCACTTCAGCACCTGCTCCAACCACTCTTCCCAAACCTGTGAATCCAGACACAGGAAACTACTCTCTTAGAAGCGGAAATAACTCTTGTTTCCTGGCTATTGTGGGGCTGCAGCTGAATGTTACCCAAGACAAGGTGCTTCTTCTGTTCTAGAAGAGTAGAAAGGTTGCTGTAGTCATTTGGTATGAAGTGCAAGTGCAGGGTATCAGCTGTCCAGAGCTGCTTCAGAGCATTGTCCATGGCACCTCTCTGGCATCAGAACAGTTTTGTGTTGTGATATCTAGCTTCAGAACGTTACCTGGATTCTCTGTAACTCACTGCTGGGAGTGCCTCTAGTGTCATTAAAGCCTGGAACTGTCGTAGCTTGGAAGGCTCTTGGTCCCTGCAGATACTGTCCCTCCCCATGGAGGAAGCCAAAGCTAACCTGTTGTATTGGGTCAAAACAATAAGACTTCACTGGGCAATTTGTTTGCATCAGTATCACCAGCATATAAACTTAAGTAGCCTTGGCTTGATAGAAGCCAGGCTTAATCTTCCTACTGTCAGGCTCTTCTAGCCTAAGCCTGCTGCTGATTGAAACAGTAGATTCCTAATGGCAGCTGAATGTCTTTGACGTGGTGTGTCTGTATTTCAGCCTCGTCTGATCAACATCAATCCGAGGACAACCACCGTAGATGGCACCTGTGGTAACACAAGAGCTACCCTGAAATTCAATGATGGAAATAGCACATTGATTGGTTTCACATTTGTTGTTGTAAGTAATTTTTATTTTGAACTCAGTTTCCACTGTAACAGTGTTGTGTGCTGTGGCAGTAAAATCCTTCTGTCACTTGCTGGTGGGAGGCTGTTCCCATATCAAAAGTGGAACTGACTAGCAGACTGCCTCAAAGCAAATGGAGAATTGGGTTAAAGTTGTAGAAAATGTAAGACTGTGGTAAATGTGTTAGCCTTTGTAAAGTATGTGTTCTTAAGAGTGCAGAATTGCACACTGACAGTTGGTTCTTGCTTTTTGAACAGAAAAACACAAGTTCAGCTGCACAAAAATATTACCTGAAAGAGGTGAACGTTACGCTGCTCAACCATCTGAATGGTTCTGGTAAGAAATAGTATCTGCCTTGAATAAAAGCTCACACTTGCTTTAATGTCTGCATTTATCAAATACTTCTGACTTTCTTTCAGTGCTATCTATGCTTACTGTTACTTCTTACTTTTTAAGTCTTGACTTTAGTAGGAGCAAAAGTAATGAGCAGAAATGGCTGTAGGGGTTACTTTAAACAGCAGTGTGGGGTCATTCTCTTTTTCCTGAAACTTCTGCTAGTGGAGTCTCTTTCTTCATTATAAACATACATAAATCAAGAGGGCCTCTATGACTGTTTTTAGTAACATAATTAATTCTAAAGCTTCTTTTCCTAAGCCAACTGTTGTCTTCTTTGAAGATGCTGCTGTATCTTCCCACCACTTCTGCTTAACTCTCACTGGGAAAAGAGACCAGTCCTTGGAAAACTAAAGTACACATTTTTTTCCAAATCAAAAGTATGGGAGTTTTTTTTGAAGTCGATTGCCACGGCTACTGCAGCTAAAAGGGCAGTAAAGCTAAAATGCACACAGCTGCAATGTTCTGCTGAGTGGAGGTACAGGGAAAGCCCTGATGTCGTGTCTGTGGGAGGACAGGTTACTGCTAAGTGCTGTAGTAGCTTCAGTGCCTGACATCTTTTGGTTAAGCACATCAATCACACTTCAGACAACTTTGTTTTACAGAGTAGTCAGTGCCGAAAAGTTTGCCACTGTAGATTCAGCTCCTTTGTGTTATAATTGTATTAACAACTCATCTTGCATTTAAAGTGGGCATGCAAATTTCTTTTTTTTTTCATTTTTCCCCCCTTTGTTTAGTCATTTCCAGTGCAGTTAACAACAATTTCAGCAAGTGGGAAGCTTTCGTGGGTAGTTCTTACATGTGCCGAAGTGAGCAAACTCTTGAGATTAATGAAGAATTTCAAATACATACTTTTAATCTGTGGATTCAGCCATTCCTTGTGTTGGAAAATAAGTTCTCTGCAGGTAAGAGTTCTTTTTCTGTTAATTCTTACAGTTCTTGAAAAATTCTTACTTTCTGAAAAGCACCAGTGTTGGGCACAAGCCCAACTTTGATTTTGAAGTTCTTGTTCCATTGTTTTTTTACACACGGAATGAAGAGAAGTTCTGAGGCTGACATTTAACTTCACAGAAAGCTTTGCTCTCACTTCAAAAATGTGTTAAAAAACAACCAAACAAACAAAACAACCTAGGTATCTTGGTTCTCCATAAAACTTGAAGGAGCTAGAGGCACTGAAGAGGAATTTAAGTGTTGCTTTGCAGAATACAAATTATCTGACATCATCTTGACAATACATGATTTTGTAGCTTGAATATATAAGAAAATGGGACAAAACTTTAGCAGAAGTAGACTTCAATAATACTGTTAGGTGTTTCTTTTTACCTGTCAGCCTAAGGAATAGGAGTGCTAGGAGGAAAACTGATAGAGCTTCTTTGAGATGCAGTCATGAATATCCAGAACTGAAGCAAGATTCTAAAATGTTTTTTTGCTGCATTGTCCTGGTCTTGTCTGAGAAACTCTAATGGCTTAAACAACCACTTTCTTAAACTGTGGAATAATCTCATCTTTGTACTTAATGGTGCAGTGCAGTCTTTGTTAGATGAGGCTAATCTGTAGACAGATGGAGAGCAGATTTTTTTAAATTCCTTTTTTAGGTAGAAGTTAACTCCCTAGATGTATGCAGACTGAAGAGTATTTATCATAATATGTTCTAAAGAGTTAGAGTCCCATTGCACTCTGTAGTTCAAGTAGCAGCTGGCTTCCTTTTCCTAATTAAAGTTACTTCATCTCTCCATAATGTGTCTCCATTTTTCTTGATAACCAGATCTGGATCACCTTATTCTTAATGAGTCAAAGCACCAGACTTGCCTTAAGCATCAAATAGATAATCCTGATTCTGTCTGAAAAGTAGAAGAATGGCAACTCCTTTGTCTAGTACAGATCTTGTGTACCTGAAAACTCATACACTGTTAGTTCACTAAAATTCATCAACCATTCCAAGTGATTTTAATGCATAAATGTTAGATGTACCCGTGAGACCTCTGCAGTTCTGTCTGTATTTATTCCTTGTTGCAACCTTTTTCTCATCTACAGCCCAGGAGTGTTCGCTGGATGGTGACGACATCCTAATCCCCATTGTAGTTGGTGCTGCACTTGCTGTCTTGATTGCCATTATAGTGGTTGCTTACATAATTGGCAGAAGAAAAAGCTATGCTGGATATCAAACTTTGTGAATCTAAATGTGATTCCTGTTCTGATTTCACTCTAAACAAAGCAAGTGCAAGTTCTGAAGTCCAAAAAAGACCTAAACTTAGGAGCAATTACTAACCACAGCTAATTGGAGATGAGAAATGGAGAGAGAATGTTTATCTTGGATGAAGCAGAACTCCATTTTTAGTTTTCCTGCTCTAAGAAGACAACGTGGGGTTTGTAGCTGTTTTGAGGATGTCAAATACTGGATGGATTGCTAGGCTAAGGATTTTATCTTGCAAAAACCCTGAAGAGTTCAGGATTTATTCCTGCTTTTTACAAACCGTAGCCTGAAACAAGAACACATGCTAAACTGATGGGCATTGGGCAACTCCCAGAATAGCATGGAATTTGTACTTGCTTTTCTCCTCTGAGTTCCTTAGTTCTTGTCATAATTGTGGGTTAAGCTGGCAGCAGTAGTCACTATGTTGACTCCTATTTAACAGGGATTATACAATGCTCAGTAACAACTTCGTTTTCATTAGGATTGAACTTTAGGCTGATGATTAAGTGATCCTTTGAAGTGACAGTGGTAATTTACTTAGCTTTTACAGAGTTTGAGTAGTTTACTCCTGCCTTGGTGTAGTTTCAGGAATCATTCCTATACCCTCACCAGACAAACAAAATGGGTAACCTGTGCTTGCCAAATGGTGGATAGATGGGAAGACTTCAGTGTCATTTCCAAATGCTTTTGAGAAAAAAAAATAAATACTGTTAGGCACTGAATTCTTTATCATTTATTATACCTTGGCAATCCTCTAAAATACTCAACTGAGGCAGAGTTCTGCTAAATTAATGGCAAGCTTTTTTGCTGGCATCAGTTTAAAGGGAATAACCTTTCTCAATATTCAAGAACTTTTAAAGTGCACTTAACTTTATATCATACTCTGCACAGAACTGGTCTGTCTTGTTGCTTTGAATGACCATCACTTAGAGATGCTTTCATTTAATGAGCCAGTATCTGTTGTTGCAGCTTGAGCTGTGTTTAAATCTTCATCCTGAATGGTTCTCTGCCTATCAGAATTCACATTATAACTGCCTGCCATTGGTATTCTGAATGTTCAGCCTACTTTGTGTTTGATTGCTGTGCAGCACTTATTAATGTTAAGGATGCAAAAGCCAAACAAGTCTAAGATGGACCCACAACACCTGTTTTTCCTTGCTGTATGGAAAGGATAACTAGCTTAAAACAATGCAGTGCAACTGGACTGTTCTTAAACTGCAGCTCTGTAGAGACTAAGCCTTGCTGCAGGACTTCTCTGGCCTCCTTGTGCTGTAATATGTAGTTTTTACTGCATGGAAAAAAGAAGTCTTTTAGACTTTTAGGTAAGTGTGGCTTTTTTGGCCTATGTCATAACATGAGCTGCTTAAACTAGTTACTTAATTAACATAACGTTGCCTCTCCCTTGAGAATGAGTTAAGACTGCATCAAAGCTGGTTTAGTGTTTTATTAATGTTTTCTAGGGTTGTAGAGATGTCTGTGGCATGTTTGTATACAAATCATAAAATACACTTCTTTCAGTATTTTTTTTTTTTTAGTAAAAAACAATTTAATCTTGACACTAGCCAAGGAAGCAAGTATGGGTGGATGATGCTTACTATACCTTGTAGTCTACAGCTTGAATTTTGCATCAGTTACTGAAATTCATTTTAATGAAAGTGGGGAACTACTATAAGAGTTTAATCCTGAAAAAAGCTTCAAGACTTTCCATTTTAATTGAAAAAAAAAAAAAAGTGGATCTAATTACTTTGATATTAATATATCCTCAAATGCAGAAGTTCATATAGATTTTTTAGCATTTTTGGGACTGCTGTTTAGTGGCACCAGTTAACACAAGCATTTCTGTTAAGGAGTAGTTACCATGCAGCATTCATCTGACCATGCAAATTTTTAAACTGTGCACTGTTTCCAAGTGACCCTATAGAAGATTAGTGTAAACTGCTCCCAAAATCAGCAGTACTACAGGTATGTTTGTGAAAACCTGCAACTGAATCTTCATTTGCAAGTATATTGGCTCAGAAATTAAAGTACTCCTAGACAGAAGTGCAGATAACTGGTTCAGAAAAGGTCAAAGTTTCACCTGACTGCCTGTTGTTATAAAACCACTAGTTTTCCTGTATGTACTGCTCCATAGGGAACTGTCAACCTGTTCAACATGTGCTCTAAATAATAAAGATTGTTCTATTTCTTAAGGAAACTTGTTCACATTTTTTAACCCCTTTGGAAACGGATGCCTTGTACTGTCTTTTTTAAAAGAAAATAAACTAAATGAGTAAGGTCAACTTCAATCAGTCTACACCTGAGGTTCTGTTACACTGCTGGTGAAGGTGCTTCTCAGTCCTCTGTGGCCTGTGTCTTAATGTGTCCTTCTGCAGCACATTCTGAAGTGTGCCTGGGTACAGCACACTAGCAGAAGGCAGCTTGGGAACTAGCTGAGACACTACACCTGGTTCATCATTAGAAACGTGCTTGTAAACTTTTTTGGGCAGTTGTATCTCCATCCAGACGAGCTGTTTGTGTGGTTGGTTTTGCTGCCCATCTTAGATTGGTGTGCAGCTGGGAAGGGCTGAGTTTCTTCTTACAGTCACCATGGAAAAGGGAATTGCTCTCTGCATTCAGCAAAAGTGGGAAGGCATTAGGGAGCATTCTGGGAATTGGTCAGTAGCTTCATCCTCTGTGACAAAAGCTGTGTTGATCCTCTCTGGGCTGCAGGTTCTTCTGGTAACAGAACTTCTGCCGCTAGACACTTTCCTGCATCAAAAGAGACAGTCTTCCCATTACTATACCTCTTTCTGGCCAGTCTTGTGAACTCCACAGTCCTACGACAAGAGGGAAAAGTGTGGTCTAGTCCTACACCCTTTCTCCTTGATTCTAGCCTGCACTACTTACATAATCATTATCTGAAAGCTGCCTTCTTATCTGCTGCACAAAGCCAAAATAACACCAGCACCTTGCTGAAGTGGAAGCTGAAGTCGGCTGAAGCTTCTTCAATGTGAAGGAAAACACAAAGATTTTAATAGGTACTTATGAAAGAGCTCAACAGGGAGGTTCCTAAGGATGTAAATCAGAGATAATTTAAACTGCAGTGGTCCTGCAGGCATCAGATTTCCATCAAATTATCAGTACGAGCCTGTGAGAGCTCATGACACAACTTGGAACAAGCAGGAGTTACTGCTCTCCTATTAGTAAGTGTAAAGACTTCTGTGGATTTTTTGTTGTTTGTTTGTTTGGCTTTTTGTCAAAGCATTACTGGTTTTACTGTAGTTTTATTTCCAGTATTGTCTCTCCTGGAGACTTGCAGTGATTCTGTAGACACTGGAAGACTGGGCTTTGTGGTGTCCAGTAATGATAAATGCACAGTAACATGCAGACATGTTTTCAAGAAGGTATAGGATAGAATTAAAATGTTTGGGAAGGAGAACAATTGCCATTGTATTTTGGGGAGGGGGACTGGGCCAGGGTTTTATGGATGACTGTCTGATGCCCTGTTGGAGAAAGTCATAACTGCTTTAAATAATTACAGGGGTATTACAGTGCTGAGGGAGGTGGTAGTGTTCTATTTTAATGCAGTTATTTTTCAAACTTGCCTTTTTTCTATTTAACTGAAGACTGCAGCCCAGAGGTAGGCAACTTCATTGTACCCACAGCAGTAGGAGCACCTCTGGGGGGATTAGTTGTCCTAGTACTTATTGTCTTACTTCATTGGTTACAGGAAACACTGTAGTGCTGGATATGAGTAGTTTTAAAATAGGAAAGTTTAACTTCATAAAAATCTGAACTCAAAAGCTGGTCGTGGTTTATGTTTGAGCCTGGCAACTTATATTCTAGGGCATAAGCAATTGATGAATTAATTTCAGTTCTCCCAAAATACACTTTTACTTTCAGAATATTAAAGTCATGCAGTGGCATTGTGTGAATAAAAACAGTTTTGTTCTGGTCTGTGGAAACAGCATTTAACCTGGGTGCTTGTGGGTGTTGAATATTGATGTGTATATCATCAACTGCAGTTTGTTTTGATTACTATTGACAGTGAACTACAGTTTACTAAATATTAAACTTGTGCTCTAAGGTGCTTAAAGATGCCAGGCTTCTAGTCCTCAAAAGGAGGATTTCCAGCCAATGAATGCCTTTTTTATTTTAAATTACCACAGTGTTCTCTAGTGTATCACATACATCAATAAACCCACAAAATCTGGGGCTATTGGTTGCATCTCCTGATTTGAATTAAAAGAGAAGATAGATTTTATACTGGGGGACAAAATTTCTGATTTTTTTTGAGACAAATTCAACCAATTATGTCAAAAAATCTGTCCCTCCTGGCCTGGCTGTGGAGTCTGCTGGTCGTGGTGTACAGTTACCAGGTTCTGCACTTGAAGACAATTCTCTGAAGCTTCTAACCACTGTACAGTAACAATACCTGAATAGATGTGTGCCAACAACAGTGGTGAGCTGGAGAGAGGTAAAGGATAGAAAGTTCCTGGTATGAAATTTTAAGCCCTTTTTATCCTAGCTGTAGTGTGTTGTGTATTGCAATGATCTCCTACCCTTAGAAATGAGAGAGGGAATTTCTGTTGCTGCCTGCTGGGCACCTTTCACACACACAATTTAGCAAGCCACCACAATTTAGCAAATTCATTCATGTTTAGTACTAATGACCTGTTATCCTGCATGCGGTAGTTAAATTGCATGTGTTGATCTTCAGTGAACAAAGACAGCTGAACATCAAATGCAGTGCTCTTCTTAAGGTGCTTACTACATTCTTAGTAGTCAGATTTTAAGTAGCTCACTGTGTAAGGGACATATTTCCTTCTTTTTCCCCTCCAAGTGCTGCTCTACCTGGCAGTCAGTGCCTTCAGATTGTCAGTTTAGTATTTTCAGGTACTGAACCTCCACGTGTTGATTTCTGTGCTCTTAGCCACAGGCCTCACAGAGCCTTTTGAGGAGGGGTAGTGGCAAGTGCCACTTTGTGCTGGGCTGTGGTGAGCTAAATCAAGATTTCCCATAACTAAGGCTGAATCAGTTAGATGCTCAGATGGTTAAAATGCTCTCTTGAAACAACTGGTAACTTCTGATAAAGCACTGAATGTGCTCATGGCACTTACTCTGCTCTAATACAAAGCTGAAAGTTTTATGCAGAGCTCTGCTTTATTACAAGCATGCAAGCCCAGCAGCCTGATGGTGTTGAAGTCAGGCACTGTATCTTATTGTACTAAACATCTCA